GAACTGGTCGTTTGCTTGAGCCACAAACCTGAAACCGATAGAACAGCTGTACAAGAGAGCTATCCAGGTGTTTGACAGAAAGCCACATTCATACCACCACTGCACCATCCTTGATCAACACGGCGCTAACAGTTCACGAGCGAGTGTGTGTGTCCCGTCCCCCCGGCAGAGTTGTGTACAGGCCGACGGGTTATAATGGATTTTGACGGAAATGTTACGATCCTGTCGATCAAAGCTAAAGCCCCTGTCACACTGTCCCGAAATTGACACCCGATGGACACGCGATTAAGGAAATGTTCAAATTCGGCTCTGATCGTAACAACATCGGGCCATTCGTGAGGGCATCTTAAGCCATCGTATGACCGCCGGTGGAGTTTCTCAGGCTCCAGCAGCAACTTTGGGAGCAGTGGCAAAATCTTTGGCATCACAAAGCATTGCCGAAGGACCTTGTGAAGGTTCATTTTCGTGTTGACTTCATGTGTCCATTTTGCCCTTCGTAAGGCATTCGTGAGGGCATCTTAAGCCATCGTATGACCGCCGGTGGAATTTATCAGGCTCCTTCAGCAACTTCGGGAGCGGTGGCAAAATCGTTGGCATGCCAAAGATGCCCTCACGAATGTCCCGATGTTGCTACGATCAGAGCCGAATTTGAACATTTCCTTTATCGTGTGTCCATCTGGTTGTTTTATTGCACAACAAAATCATGTAAACATATTTTGTAAATAACCCAATTTGTGTTCTGTGAAACTAAAAAGGATATAATATATTATTTTGAAGGCCAGGAAGTTGTTGTTGCTATGGAAACAACATGACGGAGAAAACTTAATATCTTCTACATATAAAGACAGAGAAAGTCAAGAACAAAGTCGGAAAATATCAGTACAGTATCATAATTACTTTCGTTGCAGTTGTATGTCTTAAATGTAATGTAAATGTTGCCTTCGTGTGTGGTTCGGGGCCATCTTCGTGCGAAATTCACAATTCCATATTCGTCTGTCCATCGGGTGTCAATTTCGGGACAGTGTGACACGGGGCTTTACCGAGAATGATCAGCATCATGAAAGCACCCAGGTTGTAAAGAGTCCAATGCATGCATGGGTAACGCTGCAGTTCACCATTACTCTCACATGACTGTGTATAAATCAGTAGCTTCTTGTTTATTGTACATTTCATTCAGTCAGATAAAGTCTGTCTCAACACTTGGGATTTCTCCCCAACGACCTCATTTGTTCACAGTAATTATTCTAATGTCTCATAATTAACGAGGCCCTGATTTATTGATGTTGAGATGCTACATGTAGCTTCACTGTGATGACTGCTGAGGACTTGGTAATAGAGCTGCAACGATTAGCCTCCTAATCGACGGAAAAAGGATGTCAGAGAAGGCCGTTTTCAGTCTCTCAAATATGGAGGTTTCACACTTTTTTCTGTTTTATTTCATAATAAAATGTCTGTTTTCAGCTGACAAAGCAAGGCATTCAAAGACTTCAACTTGGACTTTGAGAAACTGGGATGGATCCTTAGTTGCAACACTTCTTGGTTATGTTAAATAACTTCAAGTTGAAGGACAAAATGTGACGGCTAAGTCCTAGCTTCCTATCTGTTTATCTTTTCAACTGCCTAACAGAGAGGTTAGAAAAGTGTCATCCAGAGGAGGTAAAGTTAATTTATTTCTGCCCCCTATAATTAAGAGTAATTGTGGTGACAGCTGCCGGCACACACCTGGACGATTACCTACTGTGAATGTAAAAGTGGCTGAGTGGCGTCATGACCCCACGGGGGAAATTGCTGGAAGATCATCTGACAAACCTCTCTGACACATCAGGCTAAAAAGCTTTCTGTATTCATTCAAATCTTTGGGATTTAAGTATGGAATTTCCTTTTAAACATTCATCTGACACACGCTCTCATGCATACGCACCAAATAAATGTTTTGCTCCATTGCCAGTTGCCAAGGACTTCAAACCTACACACCTAAAAGCACTTTATGTTTTCTCCCTCTTTGTGCTGCATTGATCTCTCAGTCTGGCTGATTCTCTGCTCCAGTCCATGTTTCTCTTTCCATACCCGCAAAGAGGTGGACAGAAATAAAGCGGCACATTCTCAGAAAACTCCAAAGGAAGAGCTTTCTCTGTAAAACCATGGGGCTATGGCTTAAAAACCACTCTCTAAAAACAGGGGGATAAGAACCGCTCGATAGGACTCAGCTTAGAGAGAAACAACACGCTGACCTACTGTACCTGTTACCCAAAACTCAGCTTGTTCTTTTCAATTCACACCCACGGCTTCTATTTCCTAGAAAAATGTACTGTTCCCAGAAGTTTCACTGGTTATTCTAACTCTCACAGGGAGATCTACCCTGAGTTTCAATCACAGGCTTTAAATCTCAGAAGCAAAGTGCCCTTTTGTTCATTTCCTTTTAGTTTTCCAGCCTTTGCAATTTCTTTGCTGTGTAGAAAAAGCACACGGATTCCAGAGAAGAAGACTGAGATAAACTTGACTTTACAAACCCGGTGATCTCTCTAGAAAATAATCCCAGTTCTCATGAGATAATAAAATAATTGAATATCCAGATTATTATAGGATATTGGTTTGTTAGATCAGGGCCAGCCGGGGAAATCAGATTCATATGAAATGTAATATTTATGAATTCTGATATTGAAGGCTTCTTTCTAACTGCGATATTAAACCTGCTGAGGTGCCCTTCAAAATCGTGTATTAATCCACTCAGGACGGCCAACTTGAGGCCCCAAGCGACGACATTGTGAGATGAGGTGTTTTTGGAAACAAAGTAGGCTACTTTGCAAATATAATTATTATCAACACAGTTACTTTTTTATAGTGAGGTAAACTTGCATGTATGTCATTCAGTATGCGTTTACAGGTGAATACGTCTGCATTTCCTGCCAAATACTAGCCTCAAAAAGATTACAATATAACTAATGCAAATAAACTACTTCTACTAATAATCATAATCAATTCAATAATATAAATATTATATTATTATACTATAATATAATTGTAATATAGTCAAAACAAAACATGCTTATGACATGCTCAAAAACTGATATTTCTTAAATCTGTATTCAAATGTAGTTCCCTCTGTCAGCAATGTATCAACAACTACACACACATTTCTATCAGTATGTCTCTGTGTTGTGGTTGAAATGATGATGACTGTTAGGAGTTAAGGGGAGAGGCTGAGCATCACCATGAAATGTGCAAATTGACATAAAAATGAATAAAAGGGGGAAAAATGCTCCATGTTTTTTAGGCTGTGAACTTTAACTGTTATGTAAGCCAACTAGACAGACAGTGTACCACTCTTCCTCCTGTACATTAGCAGATAAAAGGCATANAATAATATATGTTAGAATAATAAGATCACTCAGATGTCTTAGGTCATATAAAGATCAACTCTATAAGAATAACAACTACAATTAGAATAACATATATCAGATGAACCATTATATATATCTATAAAAGGACGAATATAAAATACATGACATAACATATACAAGTAACAAGCAAATATCAAACACACAAACGGATGATGACAATAAATAAAGACACCAACAATTAACATGACATGCCTGTAATTGTATTAAAGAGATCCACACTCGATCAATGCATTTAATCCGGAATTAATATACAAAACGTACCCTATGTGGAGAACTTTTTCTTTTTCCATTTAATTTCATTACCTGGAACCAAGTGACGTAACGACGACCCCAATATGGACAAGGCTGCGGGTGGTTGTGTGTGCGTGTGCTCCGGTCGAGCTCGGCCGGGCCTCGCGTGTCCGTTGTCCACACGTCCCGCAGCAAACCAGGAACCACACAGCAAGCCAGGCTCACACTGTCGTCCCGCAAACGTCCCCGCAACACGGCACCCAGACCCACGCAACATTCTCATCTGTTGTTCATCACTTAGGTGGGTCATTCGTCTAGGTGCTATCAAACGCCCATTGTAACACATGAATCACTGATGTTCCGCTGTAAGGTGGCGGATTCATCGGAACAGAGCTTGGGCGAGCTGACAATCAGAGTAGGGCTCATCAGGGAGGGGGTGCGGCAGGAGCTCCAACAAGCCGTTTAGGACAGAGAGTGAATACACATACTATACAGAGATGCTGTATGAGAGACCAATGTGAGTTTGGAAAATTGCACAATATAAATCTATTCTAGTAGACCTCAACAATGGAATTATGATCAGTAGAAATGGCCGTGACATGGGACCTATAAATGAGCTATAACAAGCTTTAAGTAATACAAGTCTTTTTTGTGTGAATTAGGTTTAATTGTCAATGTGCAAAGATGAAAGCATGCATCTCTTAGATGTTGTTTCAAATAGTTACCAATCAAAAATGCTGCAACTCTACAAGTATTTTTGCTTCTAAAATAGCCATTTTCCAAGACAATGCCAATCCTAATAATTGCACTGATGTATATTAAACTCATTGTGTCCCTCCCCAATGTGTTGTGTGTGTGTGTATGTAGTCCCTGCCGGCAGTGTTTAAGATCGAGCTGAAGCATGGTGAGTTTACCTGGGTGGTTAAGAGGAAGGAGAAACATTTCATGGAGCTGCACAAAGAGCTGCAGACGTACAAGACCCTCATGAGGATCCCGCTGCCGTCCCGCAGGTCAGCACATTTACACATTTACACTCCACAGAGTGTGTGAACACAAAAACACTCAGAAGGAAAGACGTACCGGTACACACAAATGCACACGTATTTGTCACATTGAGTTGACCTTGTGGGAAATGGAGCACAAACAAGCTGAGAATGATTAGTATAGTTGTTAACCTTCTTGCGAGTTAGATGAAAGTTCAATTTAGCTGTTGTCTTTATGCATTCATGTTGAATCTAGAACCAAGAGACAGTTAGCTTAGCTTAGCATATAAACTGGAAACAAAAGGGAACACCCAGTCTGGCTCTGTGCAAAGCTTCCAAAGAATCTTCCAACACATTTGCTGTAAATTTCACTCAAGGTTAAATCTCTTCTGTTTATTTGTGTTATATTAACAGGAGGTTTTGCTGTTATCCTCCTCCTGCTGGCATTGTGTGAATTCAGCAACAGTCGCCTTGCAATCAGAGCTGATTCCAAAACTTTTTTAAAGACATTTTTACACATTAGCTTGTTTTTGGTTCAAACAAAGAAGACACAATGTGTTCATATTTGGTGGTGGACATTTGTTTTATACTCTGGAGTTTGGACAGAGCATGCCTTTTCATCAAAAAATCTTGAACAAAGATATATATACAGAATATATACATCCATTTATACATCTGCTTTTTATAACCTTTGGATATTGGTAGACATTTCAACTATCATGTTTCCTTCTTTTTCCCTCCCTCTCTCTGCCTCTGGTGATGTACTCACAACACAACAAAGGAATGTTGCCCTTGGACTTTAATAGGATTTAGTTTTGCCCTTCTCCCTTTATCTCTTTCTTTGTCTGTGATCTTGACTTGATGTTGTAATAGAAAGAGGAACATGGTGGATTATTTTTACAATTTCCTTTGGTGTATGTTCTTTTGCTTCTTAAATAATTCTCCCTGTTTTCATTTATAAATAATTCTCCCTGTTTTCAGTTACGTAGCATTTCACTGTTATGTGTTCCTTGTTGATGAGACACAACACTGAGCCAGTCTGCAACCTGTCAATGTATTCAAGCTTTTATATGTTCCTGTCTAAACTCCTGCTGGCAGCAAGATGAGGAAATTATGTTTTTAATTTAGGATCAGCCGCTGGAATGTTTTTTTTGGCTTTAGGGAATGATGGAACAGTTTCTCGTCAAACTTGAAGTGTGGACACACTGTGAGATTTAACAAGCTCTCGCTGGTGATTCATCTTCAGATAGATTGTGGACTTTTGAAATAAGCCTCTTCATTTCCTCCCTCTGTCTCAGCCACACGGTGAGGAGAAGAACGGTGAGGAAGAACGAGGTGAGGGAGATGCCGTCCCTGCCGAGGGGAGGGGGAGACGAGCTGGTGAGAGACGAGCAGGTCTCCAGCAGGAAGGTACGTCACGTCGGTGCCGGTGCAGCCATTGTGTGTGTGTGTGTGTGTGTGTGTGTGTGTGTGTGTGTGTGTGTGTGTGTGTGTGTGTGTGTGTGTGTGTGTGTGTGTTCATAAAAATACTCACAGTGGCCAATACATAGTATACTCTATGTGTTCCTACAGAGACAATTAGAGGACTATTTGGACAAGCTGCTGAGGATGGCCATGTACCGCAAATATCACCATACTGTGAGTAATCATTCTAAGCTCTGCCAGCTGTGACATTACCACTTCCTGCCTGCATTTTAAATGTATACTTATTGTGTGTGTATTTAAAAGCATTAGATATGCACTAATTTCAGCTGCTGTAGATACCTGAGAAAGCAAACTGTATAAGCAAATGTTGGCAACAGTATTCTTTGTTGCTCTTCCTTATGATGGAAAAGTGTGTGTTGAATAGATGATTATTAGTTTATCCATAGCAACATGTCTGCTGTATGTTGACACAATCACATTTAAGTGTAGTATTGCTGCCAATTTAAGCTGGCAAGGGCCTCATGTCTGTTTGATGCCCTGAAGAGGACTTTGTATACTATGCAAAAAAAATTTTTTTAAGATATTCAATCAAATGTATTGGTTAAATATGTAATGATACAATACTGTAAAAAGTATCTTTATAATTTCATTTGGTATTTTTCATATTCACAAACACTTCATTAAAACTACATGTGTTGCACAATAGTGAGTGTCCTATTCATATCCTACATTTGAACATATACAGTAGTGTGTTCACGCTCGTGCTAAATTTGACCTTAGTCTGAATTATGTATGAGCTTTAAAACAAACTAATGCTAGGTTTAACATGTTCTGACATGAATAAACCGCATCATTTCGACACATTAAAAATTCATAAATGAGATGAGAACCCATTTTGAGATAATCATTGAAAAGCTGTCTGCTCAGAGTCACATGACGACATGTACAGTGCAGCATGTATCAGGTTTGTTTTCTTTCTTCCCAAGACTCACTGTGAGACGCCTCTTGTTGTCTCTTCCTGTCTATTCTCAGATGGAGTTCATTGACATCAGCCAGATGTCCTTTATCCATGACTTGGGGCCCAAAGGACTGTGAGCATTTTCTCTTCTTTCAAAGTCTTTCCCATCTGTACAAACATTGTCCTGTCTCAGGTGGATACGCATTGAACAGGGTCCTCTTCAAGGTTCTCTATTGACAAACTAACAAAGCTACAGATTAATTATGTCGTTGAAAAACTTTTAAACTTCAAAGTCTTCTATTTTTTATTCAGACTCTCCTTGCATGCCGTTGTAATTTTTCCTGATCATACGTAAATTATTTGACTGTCTGTCCCAGGGAAGGGATGATCTACAAGCGATCAGGCGGACATCGTATCCCCGGGATGAACTGCTGCGGCCACAGCCAGGCCTGCTACCGCTGGTCCAAACGGTGTGTGTCTGTTTACTTATATTCCTGTTTTCCAATGTTTTCCACTCGTTGTTATATCAGCCAAATTCACATAATGTGTATCGATGTTGTTGACTGGTTTATCTTCTTGTAATCAAGCAGACGCATTCAACTTTCTTAGCGGAAACTTGAAGTAGTTTATTTTTAACTGTTAAACTTGTAGGTGTGATCGATGCTATTTACAAACTCAGTTTAGCATTTCAGACTCAAGATTGTTATCAGGAAGGTGTCAAAGTATGGGTGTTCAAACACAGTGACCACTTAATAAACATTTAAAAACATCATATTGGTAATATCTTTAAAAGTATTTTGGCTATCATCTCATTTGTATTGTTATTTTATTGCTGACAAAATCTTTGAGCCATCTTCAGCCTGGTTGAATTGGCACGTGTTTGACTTTCTTCATCTGTTTTTCTGTTTGTATTTCTCTTCATCTCAGCCAAATTATTATGTGAGCAGTTCTATTGTTGTTTTCTGAAGAAAACACAGAAAGATCCCACACGTTTGAAACACTCTGCTCGTCCTCCTACATCTCCATGATGATTTTCTTCCTACACCTTTTCCTTACAACAAGAAATATAAGAAATCCTTCAAAGCAATGGATCAAGAGCTGGACAATACGTAATAACACTAATGTTTAATCCCAATGATGGTAATGAGGACTGTGTGTTTTGTAGGTGGTTGGTGGTGAAGGACTCGTGTCTTCTATACATGAAGCCAGACTCGGGGGCCATCTCTTTCGTCCTGCTGTTGGATAAAGACTTCTGCATCAAGATGGACTCCAAAGACACAGAGACCAAACATGGAGTCCGGGTGGACAGCCTCTCCAGGTTTGAATTTTGTTGCAGTTCCCAAGGGGTCAACACATATAGAATAGTTAAAGGTCACCTATTATGCAAAATCCACTTCTCCATGTCTCTTCTACATCAACATGTGTCCCCTCTGTGGAAAGAGACTCTGGAAGTTTCAGGAAAAAAGATTCTCTCTCTTTTTGATCCATTTCTATAAAAACCTGTCTGAAAATGAGCTGATCAGATTTTGGCCACTTTATGATGTCATAACGTTTTTTTGGCTTGTGTAACCATTAGCCAATCACCAACCAAGGTAACCCCCCCCCCCACCTTATCACCTGAATCTCCTCCTAGAGCACCATTGAGTTATTTGTAACCAAATATCTCTCAGAGGGGCGTGGGGAGAGGCTCCTTATTTTCATCTAAANACAACATTCGCAAGTTGTACATTAGACTCATACAATAACCCACCTTCGAGTGATGCTCTAGTTTCTTCATGTTTTGTTTTTTTCCCTCTCCGGACTGAAACTGTCTTTTCACCGTCATCTCTTCTCCTGCACTAGTGGCCGTATCAAAGGCCTGATTGGTCAGATGTCGNTTTTGTTATTTCAGGGTGCAGGAGTTGATGGGCGGAGAGCAGAGGGAGACTGGACGAATCCCGCGCACCGTGGAATGTCACCTGAACTCCGACCTCTGTGACAGCTGCGTCCCTGGAGACACCGTCACTGTGACGGGGATAGTTAGAGTTACCAATGATGGTAAACACACACTCACACACAACCACACACACACTCTCACACACACACTCTCACACACACACTCTCACACACACACTCTCATACACACACACACTCACACACACACACACTCTCACACACACACTCTCATACACACACACACACACACACACACTCTCACACACACACAACCACATACTCACTCACACACACAACAACACACACTCACACACACACACACACACACAACTACACACACACACACACACACACACACACACACACACACACACACACACACACACACACACACACACACACACACACACACACACACACACACACACACACACACACACAACCACACACACTCTCACACACACACAACCACACACACAGACACTCACTCACACACAAACACACACACACACATAGACTATCACTCACACACTCACACACACACACACACACACACACACACACACACACACACACACACACACACACACACACACACACACACACACACACACACACACACACCACACACACACACACACACACACACACACACACACACACACACTCACACACACAACCACATACACACACTCACACACACACACACACACACACACAACCACACAGAAACAAACCCACACACTTTCTTACCAAAGTGGGAGTTTAGGTTTCGGTTAAGCTTTTGCCTTTTAGTGCCAGCTAGTGATTTCAATCCGGAGAAGATGAAGTCTTAGTGGTTTAAAACAAAAGACACACCTAACACACTCTCATCATTTGTATGCAGGTAGTTCCCGGGGGAATAAGGATCAGTGTATGTTCCTCCTCTACCTCGACGCCACTTCAGTCAGCAATACTAAAGGTACTGAAGCGCGTGTGTTCAAAACTGAATTATTACGGTTTTTTTAATGAAGGAAGTAATAAGGTGTTATTTCTTGTTAATGAGCAGGGCATCACTCCAAGTCAGGCCAGGGCTCTCCTGAAGATCGCTCTGGAGGAGAGGAGTTCAGTCTGAAGGAGCTGTACGCCATCCAGGAGATCCAGTCCCAGCCCGACCTGCTGAGACTCATCGTACAGTAAGATATTCATATCACCTACAGTATTACACCTTAACTGTTTGGAAAAGTAAGAACTGTCTGGATATCAACTCGTAGTTTGACTCAGACCACAGACATTTGATTTTAAAGTGATTTTCTTCAGTTGTAACATCAGGTTTTTTCTGTGAGTTGAACAGCTAAGCCTTCACACACATGAAAAAAAACAGCTTAGGTTAATCAAACAATCTCAAAATAACACTGCAAGTCTGTTTCACAAACATGATCAGAGTTTAGAGCAGCGGTTTTCAAAGTGTGAGGCGTGCCTCCCTGGGGGGGGCCAGAGAGCTTCAGGGGAGGCGCAGAGGGAGAAAAGAATAACGAGAAAAAGACGAGTAAAGTGTCACTTGAACACCTTTGGCTGTCTGGAGACCGAGTTCCCCCACCCCAACCCCACCTCGCCAAAAAGGCTGTAAAAGTGCTCATTCCCTTCACGTCCACCCAGAGGCCATCTGTGTGTTCTGGAGAATCACAGAACGACCGGTCGTCAGCGGGACGTTGGCGGCCGTCTCGGTTCGCTGACGGCCGACACCGCCCTTTATTTGTTATGTTTTTGAACGGCATCATTTAAGTTGCGCTGACAGGCGACAGAGGTCCGTTCAGCAGGCCGTTTCCACGCAGCGAGGCTCCCCCCCTCCCACGTTGACAGTTCAAGAGCATGATCTGCATTTATTCCCGTCTACATTGCATCCCGGCATCATCCGCCTGTGCGCATCAAAGACGCAGACTCATTGTTCCCACTAAAGTAGGGGTGAGTGTAATAAGGAGGCAAAGTTGACGTTCAGTGTGTTGCCGGGAGCATATAAGGATTTATCCACCATGTTGAAAATGTAAAAAAAATGTAAAACATAAAGATAGAAAGGTTTTAAAAAGTTATTGTTTAATGTTTTAAGGAGGTGACGCTACTCAGCCAATCAAATCGGTGCAGTCAGTGAGTCAGCACGATAGACTCAAACACAGAGACGAGAGAAACAGTCGGAGTAATTTCAAACGGCGGAAGGTCGACAGCGAAAACAGAGCATTTAATGACATGTTCTCTTACTGGACCTCTTTGAAATGCAATTGAATGCCCCTGCATTATAGCAACAAAAACAATAATAATAATAATAGCAATAACAATTGGGAGGGGGGGCGGCTGTTCTTATGTTCTCTGAGGGGAGGCTCACCTTTCCACACTTTAAAAACCGGTAACAACTTCTGATGTAGGAAACAAACCTGGCTCTTTTTGGCCCCATCTAGTGGTTAAAGTATCAAACTTGGTATTTTACTCCTTTTTTCTCCCCCGTTTTCCAGGTCTTTGTGTCCTGTCATCTACGGCCACCTGGTGAGTTGTCAATTGTCGAACAAAATAAAGAACACCAACAGCATTTTCGTATCCATTTACAAAGGGAAACACAGTGATGCCATTAATACCTGACAAACAGGACATTATTTATTTTGATTTGTTGCAAAAAGTGGCTGTGAATTAAGGCAGCTCGACCTCAGTCAGTCTTCTAATCCTTTCAATCTTGCCTTAAATGACCTCTATTGTGACCTCTTCAACAGCACTAAGTCACATGACCCAACAAAACACATTAACATTGGCCCAAGTCACCTTCTTTGCCGTTGTGCTGATGAGAAAACAGCGAAGAGGAATGAGTAAAACAGTCTGTTTGTGTGTCCCAAGCTGGTGAAAGCTGCTCTGTCCCTGGTGTTGTTTGGAGGCCGACAGAAACACACGGGGAAGAACAGCGTCCCCGTCAGAGGAGACCCTCACATCCTGATGGTGGGAGACCCCGGCCTGGGGAAGAGTCAGATGCTGCAGGTAACAGAAAACACAGGACACACTCTGAACGTGGATCACAGTTTTGAGGTCTTTACACTGACTTCCTGTCCGTCAACAAATGTTTATAAAGCACTGAATGGGCAAAATAAATGTCTGATCTTCTGCCACATTATGCACCATCCAGGACTTCTGCTTGAACTGTGATAGTTGGACTGTTTGAATGTGAATACTTACTTCTTTATTTACGTGTGCTCTGTGTAGGCAGTGTGTAATGTGGCTCCCAGAGGAATCTATGTCTGTGGCAACAGCACAAGCACCACAGGTAATCTGTCTTAACTTGCTCTACCTAAATGATGCAGGCTTTGTGGACACACTGACACTAATTTTTCGTGTTTTGTTCTTGTTTTTTAGGACTCACAGTGAGTTTATCCAGAGACGCAGGAACAGGAGATTTTGCTCTCGAGGCCGGGGCCTTGGTGCTGGCTGACCAAGGTAGGAAAGAGAGGAAATGTTATTACAAAGTGTATTTTTTGCCTGTCTAATGTTCAAATAATGTATGTTTATTTATAATGGTGGCCTTGAGATCCTCACACCAGTCGTATGTAGTTTGTTTGAAGTCAGATCAGCCCAAAGTATTAAAGGGGACCTATCATGCCAAATGCACTTTTTGATGTCTTTTATACATCAAGATGTGTCCCCGGTGTGTCGGGGAACTCACGCAGCGTCAGAAGAGACCGGCCATATGGTGTGTCCACTCAAGAGGAAAGATAAAGGACGAAGAAGTGTGTTTAACGAGAGGTCATGTCCAATCGAGACTCACAATCGGCTACGATTACATATTGTGGCTGGTATAATCAGGATTTGTCAGCCCGTAACAAAGACTATCGTTGCAAAGACTATCCGGGCACCCATGGTGTAAAGTCTATATGCAGTATAGCCTGCGTTTAGACCTAGTCGCAGGCAAAATCTCTACCATGCCTCCTTTTCTCTCTC